TATCTAAATACAAAATAGACCTTCAACTTGTAGTCATTGCAATTTAGGTTAACATTTTGGGTACTGGTGTCTTGCGGAAAAATATTTGAACATTATTTGTGTTTTATAACTGTTTTTATTATAGGCCTCCCATTAAAAATAGACCCTAGCTCACAGGCCTCTAAATATAGCCTGTAAATAAAAAAATAAAATAATTGTTGAAAAAGCACGTGCAGTGGCAGATAGGGAAAACAGATCTAGCAATAAGAATAGGCTATAGATAGTCTTGACCATTTGGGACCCCTTGGCTATTTCGCTCAGGATATGTTGTAACCAAGACTTAATCAATATTTTGTTTTGTCTCATTTATAGATAAGTATATAGCCTCTGCGTGATGGGGTTGTGCAATGCAAATGGCTATAACAAGCCCACATACAGAGTGGAATTCACTAATACAACAGTCAAACTATCTAATATAAGGTCTACAGTCCGTGATCCCAAATACTGGAGAAAGTGTGATTCATTAGGTTACAGGATCACCACAGTGGCCCCACGCAGCTATAAAAATAAATGATCAAATCAAATGAAATGTTATTTGTCACATGCGCCGAATACAACAGGTGTAGGTAGACCTTTATTAAGAAAAATAAGACATAACAATTTTTTAAACTAAATAAACTAAAGTTAAAAATAAAAGAGCAACAATAAAATAACAATAATGAGGCTATATACAGGGGGTACCGGTACCGAGTCAATGTGCGGGGCTACAGGTTAGTCGAGGTAATTGAGGTAATATGTACATGTAGGTATAGTTAAAGTGACTATGCATAGATAATAGATAATAGATAATAAAGAACGAGTAGCAGCAGCGTAAAAAGTCCGGGTAGCCATTTGATTAGCTGTTCAGCAGTCTTATGGCTTTGGAGTAGAAGCTGTTCAGAAGCCTTTTGGACCTAGACTTGCCGTGCGGTAGCAGAGAGAACAGTCTATGACTAGGATGGCTGGAGTATTTGGCAATTTTTTGGGCCTTCCTCTGACACTGCCTGGTATAGAGGTCCTGGATGGCATGAAGCTTTGCCCCAGTGATGTACTGGGCCGTACGCACTACCCTCTGTAGCACCTTGCGTTCGGAGGCCGAGCAGTTGCCATACCAGGTGGTGATGCAACCAGTCAGGATGCTCTCGATGGTGCAGCTGTAGAACCTTTTGAGGATCTGAGGACCCATGCCAAATCTTTTCAGTCTCTTGAGGGGGAATAGGCCTTGTCGTGCCCTCTTCACGACTGTCTTGGTGCGTTTGGACCATGATAGTTTGTTGGTGATGTGGACACCAAGGAACTTGAAGCGCTCAACCTGCTCCACTACAGCCCCGTCGATGAGAATGGGGGTGTGCTCGGTCCTCCTTTTAAGCGCACACCCCTGAGGGGTCCCCGTGTTGAGAATCAGCGTGGCATATGTGTTGTTGCCTACCCTTACCACCTGGGGGCTGCCCGTCAGGAATTCCGGGATCCAGTTGCAGAGTGAGGTGTTTAGTCCCAGGGTCCTTAGCTTGGTGATGAGCTTTGAGGGCACTATGGTGTTGAACGCTGAGCTGTAGTCAATGAATAGCATTCTCATGTAGGTGGTCCTTTTGTCCAGGTGGGAAAGGCCAGTGTTAAGCGCAATGAAGATTGTGTCATCTGTGGATCTGTTGGGGCGGTATGCAAATTAGAGTGGGGGTCTAGGGTATCTGGGATGATGGTGTTGAGGTGAGCTATGGCCAGCCTTTCAAAGCACTTCATGGCTACAGACGTGAGTGCTATGGGTCGGTAGTCATTTAGGCAGGTTACCTTGGTGTTCTTGGGCACAGGAACTATGGTGGTCTTCTTGAAACATGTAGGTATTACAGACTCGGCTAGGGACAGGTGGAAAATGTCAGTGAAGACAATTGCCATTTGGTCAGCGCATGCTCTGAGTACACATCCTGGTAATGCGTCTGGCCCTGTGGCCTTGTGAATGTTGACCTGTTTAAAGGTTTTACTCACATCGGCTACGGCGAGCGTGATCACACCGTCGTCCAGAACAGCTGGTGCTCTCATGGATGCTTCAGTGTTGCTTGCCTCGCAGCGCGCAGAGAAGTAATTTAGCTCGTCTGGTAGGCTTGTGTCAACGGAGCCGGTGTAGTAGGATTCAATCTTAGTCCTGTGTTTACGCATTGCCTGTTTGATGGTACGTCTGAGGGCATAGCGGGATTTCTTATAATCGTCTGGGTTAGAGTCCCGCTCCTTGAAAGAGGCAGCTCTACCCTTTAGCTCAGTGCGGATGTTGCCTGTAATCCATGGCTTCTGATTGGGGTATGTACGTATGGTCACTGTGGGGACAAAGTCATCGATGCACTTATTGATGAAGCCGGTGACTGATGTGGTATACTCCTCAATGCCATCGGATGAGTCCCAGAACATATTCCAGTCTGTGCTAGCAAAACAGTCCTGTAGCTTAGCATCTGCGTCATCTGACCACTTCCATATTGAGCGAGTCACTAGTAAATCCTGCTTTAGTTTTTGCATGTAAGCAGGAATCAGGAGGATAGAATTATGGTCAGATTTGCCAAATGGAGGTCAAGGGAGGGCTTTGTACTTGTCTCTGTGTGTGGAGTAAAGGTGGTCTAGAGTTTTTTCCCCTCTTGTTGCACATTTAACATGCTGGTAGAAATGAGGTAAAACGGATTTAAGTTTCCCTGCATTAAAGTCCCCGGCCACTAGGAGCGCCGCCTCTGGATGAGCATTTTCTTGTTTGCTTATGGCTTTATACAGCTCGTTGAGTGCGGTCTTAGTGCCAGCATCGGTTTGTGGTGGTAAATAGACAAATACGAAAAATATAGATGAAACTCTCTTGGTAAATAGTGTGGTCTACAGCTTATCATGAGATACTCTACCTCAGGCGAGCAAAACCTTGAGACTTCCTTAATATTAGATTTCACGCACCAGCCGTTATTTACAAATAGACACAGACCGCCACCCCTTGTCTTACCGGAGGCAGCTGTTCTGTCTTGCCGATCCACGGAAAAACCAGCCAACTGTATATTTTCCATGTCGTCGTTCAGCCATGACTCGGTGAAACATAAGCCATTACAGTTTTTAATGTCCCGTTGGTAGGATAGTTTTGACCGGAGCACATCCAGTTTATTCTCCAATGATTGCACGTTGGCCAATAGGACAGATGGTAGAGGCAGGTTACCCACTCGCCTACGAATTCTCACAAGGCACCCGGACCTGCGTCCCCTGTATCTCATCTTCTCTTCACGCGAATTACGGGGATTTGTGCCTTGTCGGGTATCTGGAGTAAATCCTTCGTGTCCGACTCGTTAAAGAAAAAATCTTTGTCCAGTTTGAGGTGAGTAATCGCTGTTCTGATATCCAGAAGCTCTTTTCGGTCATAAGAGACGGTGGTAGAAACATTATGTACAAAATAAGTTACAAATAACGCGAAAAAACACACAAAATAGCACAATTGGTTAGCAGCCAGTAAAACGGCAGCCATCTCCTCCGGCGCCATTATTCACAGTGATTCAATTCATAATGATTCAATTATATGGCCATTAAATAACACACGACAGCATGGCACATTTAGATAGCAGAATAGGCCTAGCCTAGGCAGGTAGCTCAGTGGTTAAGAGCGTTGTGCCAGTAACCGAAACGTCGCTGGTTCTAATCCCCGAGCTGACTAGGTGAAAAATCTGTCGATGTGTCCTTGAGCAAGGCACTTAACCCTAATTGATCCTGTAAGTCTCTCTGGATAAGAGCGTCTGCTAAATGACTAAAATGTAGCCTAAATCATATTTACTTTCTAAATTGCCGCTCAGGCGGTTATTTTAGACAAGGCTCTTCTGTGCATTTATCATTTTCACATAAGTCATTTGCTGAAAGTCCAAGGCCAAAAAGATCATCAAGGACATCAACCACCCGAGCCACTGCCTGTTCACCCCGCTATCATCCAGAATGCGAGGTCCGTACAGGTGCATCAAAGCTGGGACCGAGAGACTGAAAAACAGCTTCTATCTCAAGGCCATCAGACTGTTAAATAGCCATCACTAGCACATCAGAGGCTGCTGCCTATAGATATCACTGGCCACTTTAAGAAATGAAACACTAGTCACTTTAATAATGTTTACATATCTTGCATTACTCATCTCAGATGTATATACTGTATTCTATAATATTCTACTGTATCTTAGTCCGTGCCGCTCTGTCATTGCTCGTCCATATATGTATATATTCTTAATTCCATTCCTTACTTACATTGTGTGTGTTGGGTATATGTTGTGAAATTGTTAGATGTTACTTATATATTACTGCACTGTCAGAGCTAGAAGCACAAGCATTTAGCTACACCCTTAATAACATATGCTAAACACGTGTATGTGACAAATAAAATTTGATTTGATTATACTACGCCATCTACTGGTATAACGTCGTTATTGAATGCAGTTCTAAAACAACTCTAGACTTTTCTTTTGGAAATGAAACCGGAAGCTGCAAAGTAACTCTAACGTCTGGGCTAGAGTTGCTTTATTGACTAGCTAACTTCGACTAGCTACATTCAGTTCATGTCCTTTGCAGATGCCACATTACTGACAAAAGTTTGTACGCATAAAAAAGATCTGTAACCGAGTAAAGGGAGACGTAAAGTAAGAATTGAACCTGTAAATGTTCATTCATAGTCGTAACATAGGGTTTGTACGTTTACAGATCTAATTTAACGTTTACATTTCATGTTTCATGCATGGCTTTTCTTACTATCCTAACAATTTACGTATGGATGTTCTTACGATCTTAACGATACGTACGTTCAACCATTTGGCAGCTATCTCGCTCCATATTGTGAACTCACTCCATAATGGTAGGTGGAAACACAGTGCTAGATAAAACGAATAGATTAATAGGCAGGCTGTGAATGGCCTCACACTCCAGTACAGTAGGAGGCGGTGTAAGCACCCCACGGTTGCGATACGCCAATACATATTTAAGAAGAAGAAGGAGGCGAAGGAGAAGAAGAAGATGATGATGAAGGAATCGTTCATGAACTCAACGTCACTAAAGCTCGCAGGATCAGGGTGCTTTGCGAGGCTAGCAAACGACAGAGTTAGCAGCCGATAGCCAGCTGCCATTTACACAAAAGCAACTCCAGCGATTGTCCTGCAAATTACGGTCGGCGTAAGTGTTGAGTTATTACTAGCTAGCTACCACAATTTAACTTGAGTTGTTATGCAACCAGATGTATATCAGACAACCAGGCAGCAACGAGTGCGCTTGTTAACCGTTAGATAGCCAGCTAACGTTAGCTGCATTGGTGTGTTAAAACTTCATTACCGTTCTCCTGGCAGCAGGATATTATGCTGGCAGGACGATCGCTGATATTTATTTTCAAAATAAGAGCCCCCATACAAGGCCACGCTAAATTTAGGCAATATCGTTTTTTTCCACTCTAGTGCAGTACACCTGTTTTCACAGCGTTGCAACCACCTTTAAAGCGGCAATCAGGAGTTGAAACAATAACAAAGCGTAATCCCCACCCCTGTTTCGGTAAAAAGCTGAGGGATGGGTCTGGAGAAGTGTTCCACTCTCAAATTCATTGAGGGAGCTATGGATGCAAGGACTGAACATCCATGGTTTTAAGCATGTTTTGATGCTAAATAAATGGAGAATTTGACCTACTTTTATTTTTAATATTGTATTATTTATACCAGTATTTCTGTAGAAAGTGTACACCAATGCTGGCATGTTGAAAGCTATTATGTAAGGCTAAATGTAAGGAAATACACTTTTAATAAAATACAAATATATGTAATTGGAATTTCTCAATAGGATACAAAACTTTAATTGGCCAATTGTGTTGGGCAACGGGTTTAATAGAGTGTGCTGGTGACGCCTTACTCCATTCACTGCAATGCAATGCAATACAATACGCTGCATATGAATTACATATTGGTTAATAGAGAACATAAACGACTGTGCCGATGTAAAAGTAGGGTTGGGATTACTCCGTAGGGTCTGTAGATATGGTGTTATTTCTTGGGGGACTGAGGACTACATACCCAGCAGCACTTTCAAATCCAGTGGTCCAGGTGAGGCTTGAGGCTGGGGTACTAATGGGGGTCCACTAGAATTGGTAGCCCTGGAGACCTGGCCCGAGATTGCCTCCACTCCCAGAAGGCCTAGTTGCACCCATGCACCGCAGTTCCTCGAGCGAAGTTTCTTTGATCCGCATGGCCAAAATTGGCATCTCATAATCATCACTCAGGCGTACTTTATCGTGGCACAAGAGGCGCCGTTGAGAGGGTGGGAAGGCGTTGGACGGAGCCCTTCTGTAGGTCACACCCAGCTCTCATGCTTGGCATTCATACTCCAATGCTAGCTGCTCCAGTTACTTTAGATCTTTGACCCCGTCAATGTGACTTGGGAAGTCAAGGACAAAGACCTATAATTACAAGGGGCATTGCAGGGTTTTAGTAATTTGCAAAACATGGTCTTGGAAATTGTTGACGTTATGTTTTGATGCAACTAGTAATGGTAATTAAGGATTTACCCGAGTCCACTTCAACAGAGCAGCACAAAGAAGTTCTTTAAACTCCTTTCCTGCATGAGCGATGGATGGACTGTATATAAGGTTGTTGCCAGGAGCTAATAGACAGACAACGTCTGGGACGAGGCCTTGTGGTAACAGTCCCACAAACATTTGCGTCCAGCATTGAAGCTGTAGCTCCAGGAGTGGAGTTATCTGAGCTCTGTCTTGGTCTCAGCAAGAGGGTGTTGTAACGCTTGCTGGGGTTGATTTCTGAACGGGGCCATTGGTTAGCTTTATGGCGGGAACCGTACGTGTAAAGAAAGTCTGGCATGACTGGAAAATGTCATTAGTATGATTTTGGTTTTTGCCCTAGCACTACACCGCTGATTCAAATAATCAAAGTTCGATGATGAGTTGGTTATTTGAATCATAAATTCCTTCTTGCATTTTTCAACATGGATTAAAATGTAATATCTTATTGAGTTAGCACCTTGTAATATTTTGAAATGTGGGCTTTTATTTTGAAGGTTTCCTCATTACCTTAGGAAAGTGACATCTTCGTTAGTTTTGCTAGCAGAAAAATAGTGAAGACCTCCTAGCTAGCCAAATACAGTATCTATGGGTGTGATGAACCTGTGGTGGTGTTTTTGTAAAAAAAAATGTATCCTGCATAAGTTAATTTGACTTATCTTGGTGTGTTAGCTGTTAATTCGTCATACTACTAGTTATGTTATGCTTGTTATTGTCAACAAGAATGTGCAAAAATAAATCTCACAGAATCAAATACTTGTTGTTATGCTAACGTTAGCTAACTGTGCACGTAAACTAGCTAGCTAGCTACTGCATTCTTCAACTTCTGCTCTCTCTGCTTTCAAGATGACAAGGTGATTGCATCTAATTAGTCACTTCAACTGGTCATCAGCGTGCACTGGATGCTGTGTAGGCATATGCGTTATTGTCGTAAAGCGCTCGGCAGCAGGAGGTGGAGAGGGTTTGCAGTCTCGTGCCACAGTCCGGGATGGACACCTGGACACCGAATCCTCGAGCGAAACCGTTCATCCCTCGCCAGCAACGGAGCCTCTACCTCACCTGGAAGTACAAATTAACTAACAAGCGAGCTCTTCGTCGAGGCTGCCAGGTGAGCCCATGTTGTTTTGCCAGTTCAGCCTCCATTCACTGTCACTTTTGGTTAGCCTACATTTGGGGTACTTTTGAGAAAACAACTTGCCTTTTTCCTCTGTGCAGGCTGGAGCGGTTCTATTTCTGCTGGTCACAGTCATTGTGAATATCAAACTCATCTTAGACACAAGAAGAGTAGCCAATGAGGAAGAGGCAGTGCAGGAGTATGGTGAGTCTTGTCAATTCTTCCACCATTTGTTTGACACATTTCCATTTGCCATGTCAAAAGCTGTTTCTCACGTATTATAGCCTAACAAAGTTGTTGATATATGGAATTCATGCTGCTGAGCAATGTTATGCACCGTCTCAGTCAACTTACGAAACAACTTTCCACAATTCAAAATGGCTGAACTTCCCCGTGCTCGTTTCCAGACGAAGCCCTGCCCAACATGGAGACCCCGCGCAAGCCGGCGAGCGGTAGGAAGGTCCTGGACATTGAGGTGTACTCCAGCCGCTCCAAAGTCTATGTGGCAGTGGACGGCACCACTGTGAGTACCTGTACGCATTTCACTATTAGGCTACCCTTTTCACAGTACTGAGCCAAACCAAGCTGAGCCAAGCCAAGCTGAACTGTGCTGGCCTAGGTATGCATCGTCCATAGTTGCTGGAAAAGACCATGTGTAAAAATAAATTAAAAAAGATCTGAGCCAGCACGGTCTGGCTCAGGGTGCAGTCTGGCTCTAGTGTGAGTCTGGCTTATCATTGTTGATTTCATAGTGTGATTATGATGTAACTGTTGATATTTTAAAAGGTGCTTGTGTTGTCTGTGTCCCTCTCCAGGTGTTAGAGGATGAAATGCGGGAACAGGGCCGAGGCATTCACGTGATAGTCCTCAACCAGGCTACCGTAAGTAAGCATGTGTGACTCTTCACCTAGAGACACACTGAAACTACTGTGGTGTTTTTTTTCTCTGCACTTGTGAGCAGTTTCAATTTAGCCTTTGTTTTTCAAGCATTCATGAACCGCAAGATGTCGATAACATAGTGAGATGATACTGCTAGTCTTGGTAGTAGGCAATTCCATGGTAACAGAGTGATACTGAGACTCAGATTTTTCACTTTAAATTGTCAAACAAAAACCAATCATTGCAAAGTTAAACAAAACACACAACTGTATGCACAAGGACTACTTTGAACAATTTCCACACATTTTGCTGAAACACATTGACTTGAACAGTTCAGATGCAACGTTTGTTAAGAGAATGGTTTGGCCTGTTTATGCCGTCATTCTCTTACCAAACTTAGCATCTGCACTGTTCTCCAAGTTTTTGTAAAATGTTCAGTGGAAATTGTTAAAAGTAGTCCTTGTGCATGGAGTTGTATGGTTTGTTTAACTTTGCAGTCATTGTTACTGTGGACTTGCCCTATTGCTAAACCAACCTCTCCTCTCAAGACAAGGTCTATTTGTAGGTCTGCAGCATAAGTGTCACTTGTGTGTGTCTGCAGGGCCATGTGATGGCCAAGAGGATATTTGACACCTACTCTCCCCATGAGGACGAAGCCATGATCCTCTTCCTCAACATGGTGACACGTGGCAGAGTCCTCATCTTCACCATCAAGGTCAGTCACTAACTCAGTCACTAACTCCCTTCCAGTTTTGTATATATACTAAACTCAGCAAAAAAATTAACGTCCTCTCGCTGTCAACTGGGTTTATTTTGTATGAACATAGCAAGATTCAACAACTGAGACATAAACTGAACAAGTTCCACAGACGTGACTAATAGAAATTGAATAATGTGTCCCTGAACAAAGGGGGGGTCAAAATCAAAAGTAACAGTCAGTATCTGGTGTGGCCACCAGCTGCATAAAGTACTGCAGTGCATGTCCTCCTCATGGACTACACCAGATTTGCCAGTTCTTGCTGTGAGATGTTACCCCACTCTTCCACCAAGGCACCTGCAAGTTCCCGGACATTTCTGGGGGGAATGGCCCTAGCCCTCAGATCTAACTGATCCCAGACGTGCTCAATGGGATTGAGATCCGGTCTCTTCGCTGGCCATGGCAGAACACTGACATTCCTGTCTTGCAGGAAATCACGCACAGAACGAGCAGTATGGCTGGTGGCATTGTCATGCTGGAGGGTCGTGTCAGGATGAGCTTGCAGGAAGGGTACCACATGAGGGAGGAGGATGTCTTCCCTGTAAAGCACAGCGTTGAGATTGCCTGCAATGACAACAAGCTCAATCCGATGATGCTGTGACACACCGCCCCAGACCATGACGGACCCTCCACCTCCAAATCGATCCCGCTCCAGAGTACAGGCCTCGGTGTAACGCTCATTCATTTACATTTACATTTTAGTCATTTAGCAGACGCTCTTATCCAGAGCGACTTACAGGAGCAATTAGGGTTAAGTGCCTTGCTTAAGGGCACATCGACAGATTTTTCACCTAGTCGGCTCGGGGATTAGAACCAGCGACCTTTCGGTTACTGGCACAACGCTCTTACCCACTACGCTACCTTCAACGATAAACGCGAATCCGACCATCACCCCTGGTGAGACAAAACCGCTACTCGTCAGTGAAGAGCACTTTTTGCCAGTCCTGTCTGGTCCAGCGACGGTGGGTTTGTGCCCATAGGCAACGATGTTGCCGGTGATGTCTGGTGAGGACCTGCCTTACAACAGGCCTACAAGCCCTCAGTCCAGCCTCTCTCAGCCTATTGCGTACAGTCTGAGTACTGATGGAGGGATTGTGCGTTCCTGGTGTAACTAGGGCAGTTGTTGTTGCCATCCTGTACCTGTCTCACAGGTGTGCTGTTCGGATGTACCGATCCTGTGCAGGTGCTGTTACACGTGGTCTGCCACTGCGAGGACGATCAGCTGTCCGTCCTGTCTCGCTGTAGCGCCTCTTAGGCGTCTCACAGTACGGACATTGCAATTTATTGCCCTGGCCACATCTGCAGTCCTCATGCCTCCTTGCAGCATGCCTAAGGCACATTCACGCAGATGAGCAGGGACCCTGGGCATCTTTCTTTTGGTGTTTTTCAGAGTCAGTAGAAAGGCCTCTTTAGTGTCCTAAGTTTTCATAACTGTGACCTTAATTGCCTACCGTCTGTAAGCTGTTAGTGTCTTAGCGACCGTTCCACAGGTGCATGTTCATTAATTGTTTATGGTTAATTGAACAAGCATGGGAAACAGTGTTTAAACCCTTTACAATGAAGATCTGTGAAGTTATTTGGAATTTTACAAATTATCTTTGAAAGACAGGGTCCAGAAAAAGGGACGTTTCTTATTTTTTTGCTGAGTTTATAAGCTAGTTCTTGATGCACTAGTAGTGACTTGCATCACAGCTATTGTATTTGCATGCAATGAACTTGATGAGCTAAATGGGCTAATGTAGAGTAAGGCTAATCATTTAGCCTGATGATGCAGTGTTTTGTGTCTGTCTGTTTGTGTTGTGGTGTTTACGTTTAGGATGAGGGTACGTTCCACCTGAAAGAGTCTGCTAAAAACCTGCTGAAGGGGCTGGGGAGCCAGGCTGGCCTCAACCTCAGCTGGAGAGACATGTGGACCTTGGTGGTGAAGAAAGGAGGTACAGGAACAGTCACACACACACACACGCTGAGATCCATTTTCACACAAATTACATAGTTTCTGCTAGGGGTGTGAACGTTTAAATGTTAAAATCTTTCAATGCAATTGGGATCTAACTAAATTGGGATCTAAGAAAGATCCCTAACCAAAATAGTTGTTTTTCCCCCCACAGAATTTTAATCACAGTGCAGTTATCACAAAACCGAACCGTGTTATAGCTATAAAGGCCTGGGGAAAGTAGTGTCATTTACATAAAAAAAGAGAGGAAGTCAAACTTTAGGCTACTTCGGTGAATTTGCGAGGCGTACAAGACATTGCAAGGTACAGATGAAGACATTCTTTCTGCCTGACCCCTCCTCTCTCTCCCTTGCGCTGGCTCGCCTGCTCTTACTCTTCGCTAATGATGTGAGTGTGTGTTCAGTCTTCGGTCTGCTGCGTGTAGAATATCCTAGCCTATTCATTGATGATAGGCCCTGCTTTACTGAAGTTGTGCGACATTGCAAGCTAAGAAATTGCGACATATTGCATTGCGAGATACAGCTTTTTAAATTTTTTTATTGAAGATAGGCCTAGTGCACGGTTCAGACTGTCTGCCTGGTGGCCGACCTGCCTATACTGTGCCCCTCCCCTCTCTCTCCATCCTTCGCTAGCTCGCTATGAAAGATGTAAGTGTTTGATTAATTGCCGTACTTCCGAGAACACAATCTCCCCCGTTCCAAAAATACTGAATCTTAGGACTCAATTCCTTGCGGAATCGAATCTTGATATTCAGAAATGGGAGTCGACACTGGGAGTATCGACTCTCCACTGCTACGTAATCATCTTATTAAGTTGGAAAAATGCCAGAGAAAGGCAAGCGACCGCAGCGAAGTCCTGTATGGCAATACTTCGAGAAATAAAATGAGAAGGAAATGCAAACTTTGCGAGGTGGAATTGAGGTACAGTAATGGTAGTACAGGTGCAATGCTTAACCATCTGAAAGGGACGCACTTTGAGACCCAAACTGTTGCTGGCAGCAGTGTAGCTGCATTGTGAATTCACGTGAAATTGTTATTATCGTTTTAACATCGTTTTTTCCATTTGCGTGTCATGCGATGTAGGTGTGTTGATGATGAGTTGCTTGGTATATGTGTGTGTTTTCAGGTCAGTTGTATGGTGAGAAACACTCCAAGTCCCCAGCCCTGTCCACCTGGGGAGACCCTGTTCTACTGAAGACTGAGGTGCAGCTCACTGCTTCTGAAGGTACCTACCTAGCCTCCCATTCCCTCCTCACCTTGCTCCATGCTCAACAATGACCAATCTTCCTTTATATGCAGCTATTAAGAGAGAAATTACCTCAAATATACAGTCGCTAGTGAAAGTCTACACATCCCTTGTACAGTCTTCACATTTTGCTGCCTTAAAAATATATCCTAAAAGGGATTACATTAAAAAAAAATTATACTCATCTTTACAACCTACTCCACACTTTCAAAGGAAAAAAAAAAAAAAAAAACATTTTCCATATGAATAAAAAATTAAGATGTATTGATTGCATATGTCTTCTCACCCATAGTTAATAATTGGTGGATGCATCTTTAAAAACGGGATAATTTTGAATAAGATTCCTCCGACATTGCACAACTCTTAGGGCAATATATAGCAATTGTTTTTGTCAAAATGACTGAAGCTCAGTAAATTTGGTTTGGAATCTTTGATGGACAGCAATATTAAAAACATGTCTCAAATTTTTAAGCATATTTAAGTCAGGACTGAGACTGGACCATTCAGGAACATCTCACCAGCTCTTGGAAAGCCATTCTGGTCTGTCTTTGGAAAGAAAATGTGTGTAATTGTCCCGCTGAAAAATAAAACTATTCCAGGGTTAGGTTTTCAAATCAAATTGTATTTGTAAAATGCTTGGTAAACAACAGGTGTAGACTAACAGTGAAATGCTTAGTTACGGGCCCTTCCCAACAATGCAGAGAAAAATAGAAAAATAATAACACAACAAATAATTATACAATGAGTAACGATAACCTGGCTGTATACATGGTGTACCAGTACTGAGTCGATGTCCATGGGTACGAAGTAATTGAGGTACAGTAGTATTCGCACCCCTTGGCTTGTTCCTAATTTTGTTGTTACAAAGTGGGATTAAAATTGATTTAATTGTAATTTTATGTCAACGATCTACACAAAATACTCTGTAAAAGTGGAAGAAAAATTCTAACATGAAAAAAAGTACAAAATACAACATACAGTGCCTTCGGAGAGTATTTAGACCCCTTGACTTTTTCCCACATTTTGTTAGGTTATAGCCTTATTCTAAAATTAATTAAATAGATTTTCCCCCCCTCAATCTACTCACAATACCCCATAATGTCAAAGCAAAAACAGGTTTTTTAGAAATGTTTGCAAATGTATTACAAATAATAAACAGATCACACTTACATAAGTATTCAGACCCTTTACTCAGGACTTTGTTGAAGCAACTTTGGCAGCAATTACAGCCTGGAGTCTTTTTGTGTATGACGCTACAAGCTTGGCACACCTGTATTTCAGTGGAACTCTAGAGCTCTGTCAGAGTGACCATCGGGTTCTTGGTCACATCCCTGACCAAGGCCCTTCTCCCCCGATTGCTCAGTTTGGCCGGGCGGCCAGCTCTAGGGAGAGTCTTGGTTGTTCCAAACTTCTTCCATTGAAGAATGATGGAGGCCACTGTGTTCTCAGGGACCTTCAATGCTGCAGAAATTTTTTGGTACCCTTCCCCAGATCTGTTTCTCGACAGAATCCTGTCTCGGAGCTCTACGGACAATTCATTCGACCTCATGGCTTGGATGCTGCCACCACAATACTTGAAAATACAGATGGTTTCATTCTGTTGTGTTATATTGGATTTGACTTCTTCAAAGTAGCCACCCTTTGCCTCGATGACAGCTTTGCATACTTGGCATTCTCTCAACCAGTTTCACCTGGAATGCTTTTCCAACAGTCTTGAAGGAGTTCCCAAATGCTGAGCACTTGTTGGCTGCTTTTCCTTCACTCTGCATTCCAACTCATGATAGTCATTTTGAAGTCTCGCTCCCTCTCTCCTGAGTGTACTAAACATAAAGAACACCTTCCTAATATTGAGTTGCGCTCCAACCCTAATCTAGCACACCTGATTCTAATAATTAGCAGGTTGATAAGATGAATCAGGTTAGTAACACGTGGGGTTGGAGCGAAAACCTACAGGAGGGTAGCTCTCCAGGAAAAGGGTTGGGCAACCCTGATCTACACTGATTGAAGTGGATTTAACAAGTGACATCAATAAGACGGTTAAGTGTACCTTGAATTCTAAATAAATCACAGAGAGTATCACCAGCAAAGCACCCCCACACCATAACACCACCTCCTCCATGCTTTCGGTGGGATCTACACATGCGGACATCATCCGTTCACCCACACCGCGTCTCACAAAGATATGGCGGTTGGAACAAAAAATATTACATTTCGACTCCAGACCAAAGGACAAATTTCCACCGGTCTAATGTCCATTGCCCGTGTTTCTTGGCCCAAGCAGATCTCCTCTTCTTACTGCTGTCCTTAAGTAGTGGTTTATTCGCAGCAATTCGACCATGAAGGCCTGATTCACAAAGCCCCCTCTGAATAGTTGATGTTGAGATGTGTCTGACTTGAGCTCTGTGAAGCATTTATTTGGGCTGCAATTTCTGAGGCTGGTAACTCTAATGAACTTATCCTCTGCAGCAGAGGTAACTCTGGGTCTTGCTTTCCTGTGGCGGTCCTCATGAGAGCCAGTTTCATCATAGCGCTCGATAGTTTTTGCAACTGCACTTGAAGAAACTTTCAAAGTTCTTTACATTTTCCGTATTGACTGACCTTCATGTCTTAAAGTAATGATGGACTGTCGTTTCTTTTTTGCTTATTTGAGCTGTTCTTGCCATAATATGGACTTGGTCTTTTACCAAATAGGGCTAGCTTATGTATACCACCCCTACCTTGTCACAGCACAACTGATTGGCTCAAACGCATTAAGAAGGAAAGAAATTCCACAAATTAACTTTTAAGAAGGCACACCAGTTAATTGAAATGCATTCCAGGTGACTTCCTCATGAAGCTTGTTGAGAAAATGCCAAGAGTGTAAAGCTGTCATCAAGGCAAAGGGTGGCTACTTTGAAGAATCTCAAATATAAAATATATTTTGATTTGTTTAACACTTTATTTTGGTTACTACATGATTCCATATGTGTTATTTCATAGTTTTGTAGAAAATAGTAAAAATAAAGAAAAACCCTTGAATGAGTAAGTGTATTCTGACTGGTATTGTATGTTTCCCTAAGAGTTGTGCAAGGTTGGTAGAGTCTTATTCAAAATGATTTACAGCTGTAATGGCTGCCAAAAGTGCTTCCACCAAGTATTATCTTGGGTTTGAAGACATGCAATCAATACATCTTCATTTTTTATGAAGATGAATTTTGCATTTTACTTTGAAAGTGTGGAGTAGGTTGTGTAGATTAAAAAAAAAAAAAAAACATTAATTTAAGATTTCATTTTGAGGCAGCAAAATGTGAAGGCTGCAAGGTGTGTGCATACTTTCCCTATGCGTTGTAAGGTGGTTTTATGTTCCTGCACCATGTCAACCACCATCTGAACTTTTATACTGAATGCCACACCCGAAGTTCCCTTGTGGGAAATAAAAAATGATATGTTTCAGTTCAATGTAATTGGGTACCATTCTCCTCCCTCTCCCCGTGCAGATGCAGAGTGCCATTGGGCCGACACAGAGCTGAACAGGAGGAGGAAACTCTTCTGTAGTAAGGTGGAGGGCTATGGCAGCATCTGTAGCTGCAAGGACCCGGCCCCCATAGAGTTCAACCCAGACCCAGTAAGGCCCACGTCCCAAATGGCACCCTATTCCCTATTTAGTGCACTACTTTTTATAAGGGCCCATCTGGATGATTGAACACAAGCTGTCCCCCCTCCCCCTCTTTTTCTAGCTCCCCAACAACAATGTGTTCAGTGTTCCTGTGGCTGTCATCGCTGGGAACAGACCTAACTATCTGTACAGGTATGACTGGGATTCTGAGGTGAAGGGAATGACTCTGAAAGTAGCATTCAGACCAGAAACATTGTTTTGATCTTACAAATCAATGCTGGTTTTCTGAGGCCAAATAGCAAACACAAATCTAATCAGGCAACCATTGCCTGATGTCCTATCATTATTACGACCAGCTCTTCTCTATGTTAGGATGCTGAGGTCTCTGCTCTCGGCCCAGGGGGTCAACCCACAGATGGTCACAGTCTTCATCGATGGATACTATGAGGTACTGAGTTTCTTCTCTTTATTATGTTCTCCCTCTTCCTCTTCTCAACTATATAGCATTTCATTTCTTGCGCTTAAAGTTGTGTGTGCGTACAGGAGCCCATGGATGTGGTGGAGCTGTTTGGACTGAAGGGGGTTCAACACACTCCCATCAGCATCAAGAATGCCAGAGTATCACAGGTGAGATGTCCGTCAGCCAACTCACTCATCACACTCAGAGCAGCCTCCATCACAGACCAGCTGAAACGGTGTCAGTCGTACAGTCATTAGTCAACTAGAAATCACTTATTTTGTCTACTTATTTTGTCAAACACCAACCAATGAGACAAAGGCAATGTTGTGTTGTAATGCACACACAGTGTTTTGGCATCAATCACCCACTCACTACCACCTCTATACATATGTCTGCTCTCTCCTCTCAGCATTACAAAGCCAGTCTCACTGCAACCTTCAACCTACACCCAGTGAGTACTTTCACAACTTTTAAGATATGAAGCCAAACCTTTCTGTCCACCACATCCAGATCAGTTATTATGGTGTGGTTGTGGTTGCTTTGTGCCATTGTGGTTGTTATGTGGTTGATTTGTGTTTGATTTGCAGGATGCCAACTTTGCCGTAGTCCTGGAGGAAGACCTGGATATCTCCATAGATTTCTTCAGGTAAGATCTCTATAGTTTTAGATTGATGGAAGTTTTAACTATACAATGTATAGAGAGAGAGTGTGTGTGTGTGTGTGTGTGTGTATGTGCGCACACTGAACAAAAATAAAAACGCAACATGCAACAATTTCAAAGATTTTCAGTTCATATAAGGAAATCAGTGAATTGAAATACATTCAATAGGCCCAAATCTATGGATTTCACATGACTGGGAATACAGATATGCATCTGTTGGTCACAGATACCTTAAAAACAAAAGTAAGAGCGTTGATCAGAAAACCTGTCAGTATCTGGTGTGACCACCATTTGCCTCATATACAGTGAGGGGAAAAAAGTATTTGATCCCCTGCTGATTTTGTACGTTTGCCCACTCAGTCTATAATTTTAATGGTAGGTTTATTTGAACAGTGAGAGACAGAATAACAACAAAAAAATCCAGAAAAACGCATGTCAAAAATGTTATAAATTGATTTGCATTTTAATGAGGGAAATAAGTATTTGACCCCTCTGCAAAACATGACTTAGTACTTGGTGGCAAAACCCTTGTTGGCAATCACAGAGGTCAGACGTTTCTTGTAGTTGGCCACCAGGTTTGCACACATTTCAGGAGGGATTTTGTCCCACTCCTCTTTGCAGATCTTCTCCAAGTCATTAAGGTTTTGAGGCTGACATTTGGCAACTCGAACCTTCAGCTCCCTCCACAGAATTTCTATGGGATTAAGGTCTGGAGACTGGCTAAGCCACTCCAGGACCTTAATGTGCTTCTTCTTGAGCCACTCCTTTGTTGCCTTGGCCGTGTGTTTTGGGTCATTGTCATGCTGGAATACACATCCACGACCCATTTTCAATGCCCTGGCTGAGGGAAGGAGGTTCTCACCCAAGATTTGACGGTACATGACCCGTCCATCGTCCCTTTGATGCGGTGAAGTTGTCCTGTCCCCTTAGCAGAAAAACACCCCCAAAGCATAATGTTTCCACCTCCATGTTTGACAGTGGGGATGGTGTTCTTGGGGTCATAGGCAGCATTCCTCCTCCTCCAAACACGGCGAGTTGAGTTGATGCCAAAGAGCTCGATTTTGGTCTCATCTGACCACAACACTTTCACCAAGTTCTCCTTTGATTCTTTCAGATGTTCATTGGCAAACTTCAGACGGGCCTGTATGTGTGCTTTCTTGAGCAGGGGGACCTTGCGGGCGCTGCAGGATTTCAGTCCTTCACGGCGTAGTGTGTTACCAATTGTTTTCTTGGTGACTAGGGTCCCAGCTGCCTTGAGATCATTGACAAGATCCTCCCGTGTAGTTCTGGGCTGATTCCTCACCGTTCTCATGATCATTGCAACTCCACGAGGTGAGATCTTGCATGGAGCCCCAGGCCGAGGGAGAAGGGACCTACAATCTTGTCCCTGACATCCTTGGAGAGCTCTTTGGTCTTGGCCATGGTGGAGAGTTTGGAATCTGATTGATTGCTTCTGTGGACAGGTTTCTTTTATACAGGTAACAAACTGAGATTAGGAGCACTCCCTTTAAGAGTGTGCTCCCAATCTCAGCTCGTTACCTGTATAAAAGACAACTGGGAGCCAGAATTCATACCCTTTGCTATGAGACTTGAAATTGAGCTCCGGTCCATCGTGTTTCCATTGATCATCCTTGATATGTTTCTACAACTTGATTGGAGTCCACCTGGGGTAAATTCAATTAATTGGACATGATTTGGAAAGGTACACATCTGTCTATATAAGGTCCCACAGTTGACAGTGCATGTCAGATCAAAAACCAAGCAATGATGTCGAAGGAATTGTCCGTAGAGCTCCGTGACAGGATTGTGTCGAGGCACAGATCTGGGGAAGGGTACCAAAACCTTTCTGCAGCATTGAAGTTCCCCTAGAACACAGTGCCTTCCATCATTCTTAAATGGAAGAAGTTAGGAACCACCAAGACTCTTCCAATAGCTGGCCCCCAGCCAAACGGAGCAATCGTGGGAGAAGGGCCTTGGTCAGGGAGGTGAGCAAGAACCCAGTGGTCACTCTGACAGAGCCCCAGAGTTTCTCTGTGGAGATGGGAGAACCTTCCAGAAGGACAACCATCTCTGCAGCACTTCACCAATCAGGCCTTTATGGTAGAGTGGCCAGATGGAAGCCACTCCTCAGTACAAGGCACATTACATTCCTTTTGGAGTTTGCCAAAAGGCACCTAAAGGACTCTCAGACCATGATAAACAAGATTCTCTGGTCTGATGAAACCAACATTGAACTATTTGGCCTGAATGCCAAGTGTCATGTCTGGAGGAAACCTGGCACTATCCCTACGGTGAAGCATGGTGGTGGCATCATACTGTGGGGATGTTTTTCAGCGGTAGGAACTGGGAGACTAGTCAGTACAAGGGAAAGATGAATGGAGCAAAGTATAGAGAGATCCTTGATGAAAGCCTGCTCCACACAGGACCTCAGATTAGGGTGAAGGTTCACCTTCCAACAGGACAACGACCCTAAGCACACAGCCACGACAACGCAGGAATGGCTTCAGGACAAGTCTCAATGTCCTTGAGTGGCCCAGCCAGAGCCCGGACTTGAACCCGATGGAACATCTCTGGAGAGACCTGAAAATAGCTGTGCAGCGACGCTCCCAATCCAACCTGACAGAGCTTGAGAGGATCCGCAGAGAAGAATGGGTTAAACTCCCCCAATACAGGTGTGCGATGCTTGTAGCGTCATACCCAAGAAGACTCGAGGCTGTAATAGCTGCCCAAGGTGCTTCAACAAAGTACTGAGTAAAGGGTCTGAATACTTGTTTTTGCTTTGTCATTATGGGGTATTGTGTGTAGATTTAGGGGGGGACAAAAACAATTTTAATCAAGTTTTGAATAGTCTGAATAATTTCCGAATGCGCTGTACATACACTACCAGTCAAAAGTTTGGACACACCTACTCATTCAATGGTTTTTCTTTATTTTTACTATTTTTTACATTGTAGAATAATAGTGAAGACATCGTAGTAACCAAAAAAGTGTTAAACAAATCAAAATATGTTTTATGTTTGAGATTCTTCAAATAGCCACCCTTTGCCTTGATGACAGCTTTGTACACTCTTGGCATTCTCTCAACCAGCTTCATGAGGAAGTCACCAATTTCAATTAACAGGTGTGCATTCTTAAAAGTTAATTTGTGGAATCTCTTTCCTTCTTAATGCGTTTGAGCCAATCAGTTGTGTTGTGACAAGGTAGGGAGGGATATACAGAAGATAGCCCTATTTGGTAAAAGACCAAGTCCATATTATGGCAAGAACAGCTCAAATAAGCAAAGAGAAACAACAGTCCATCATTACTTTAAGACATGAAGGTCAGTCAATACGGAAAATGTCAAGAACTTTGAATGTGGAACGGGGAGTAAGTAAGGAACTTGTCTGTCGGCCTTGCATTAAAGAACATATTTGGTTAAAGAAAACTGTGATAAATAAAAAAGTATACCAGTTTCATTTAAGGACCAAAGGATTGACAGCCATCCCATATAGATTGCAAAATAGTTGGGAAGAGATTTTTGACCTACCGATCCCATTGCATAGTGTTTATGAACTGATACACAAAACGACACCGGATTCAAAACTTAGAATCTTTCAATTTTAAATTATTATATAAAATTCTTGCTACCAATAGAATGTTATTTATATGGGAAATACAATCTTCCCAGCTCTGCAGATTTTGCTGCGAAGAGATAGAATCATTAGATCATTTGTTTTGGTACTGTCCATTTGTAGCTTGTTTTTGGACACAGGTCCCAGATTGCAATATTTACCTGGAGCTAACCTTGCAGGTAGCATTACTGGGTGATGTGAAAATTCATAGTCAATCGATCAATAATATAATAATACTTTTAGCAAAAATGTTCATTTTCAATTTACAATCTGTAGAAACAATGAGAATAGAAAGGTTCAGAACTTTTGTAAAACATCACAGTACAGTTGAAAAATTATATGGCAAATATAAATCCTATATGGATGGTGTTAAGAGATAGATGGGTGATGTTGAAGGATTGGACTAATAACAAGATAACTAATAATGTATGCATAATGTGTCCATAATAAGTATATAGGTTATAGGTTGGGAGCTTTTGTGAAAGAGCACAGTTAGAAAGATATGGCATATAGAAGCAAACCGGATGGACATCATGAAAATGATCGGAGATGTTGAGAATAGAAGTGTGTGTGTGTATACACACACACACACACACACACACACACACACACACACACACACACACACACACAGTGGGGAGAACAAGTATTTGATACACTGCCGATTTTGCAGGTTCTCCTACTTACAAAGCATGTAGAGGTATATAATTTTTATCATAGGTACACTTCAACTGTGAGAGACGGAATCTAAAACAAAAATCCAGAAAATCACATTGTATGATTTTTAAGTAATTAATTAGCATTTTATTGCATGACATAAGTATTTGATACATCAGAAAAGCAGAACTTAATATTTGGTACAGAAACCTTTGTTTGCAATTACAGAGATCATACGTTTCCTGTAGGTCTTGACCAGGTTTGCACACATTGCAGCAGGTATTTTGGCCCACTCCTCCATACAGACCTTCTCCAGATCCTTCAGGTTTCGGGGCTGTCACTGGGCAATACGGATTTTCAGCTCCCTCCAAAGATTTTCTATTGGGTTCAGGTCTGGAGACTGGCTAGGCCACTCCAGGACTTTGAGATGCTTCTTACGGAGCCACTCCTTAGTTGCCCTGGCTGTGTGTTTTGGGTCGTTGTCATGCTGGAAGACCCAGCCACGACCCATCTTCAATGCTCTTACTGAGGGAAGGAGGTTGTTGGCCAAGATCTCACGATACATGGCCCCATCCATCCTCCCCTCAATACGGTGCAGTTGTCCTATCCCCTTTGCAGAAAAGCATCCCCAAAGAATGATGTTTCCACCTCCATGCTTCATGGTTGGGATGGTGTTCTTGGGTTGTACTCATCCTTCTTCTTCCTCCAAACACGGCGAGTGGAGTTTAGACCAAAAAGCTCTATTTTTGTCTCATCAGACCACATGACCTTCTCCCATTCCTCCTCTGGGTCATCCAGATGGTCATTGGCAAACTTCAGACGGGCCTGGACATGCGCTGGCTTGAGCAGGGGGTCCTTGCGTGTGCTGCAGGATTTTAATCCATGACTGCGTAGTGTGTTACTAATGGTTTTCTTTGAGACTGTGGTCCCAGCTCTCTTCAGGTCATTGACCAGGTCCTGCCGTGTAGTTCTGGGCTGATCCCTCACCTTCCTCATGATCATTGATGCCCCATAAGATGAAATCTTGCATTGAGCTCCAGACCGAGGGTGATTGACCGTCATCTTGAACTTCTTCCATTTTCTAATAATTGCGCCAACAGTTGTTACCTTCTCACCAAGCTGCTTGCCTATTGTCCTGTAGCCCATCCCAGCCTTGCAGGTCTACAATTTTATCCCTGATGTCCTTACACAACTCTCTGGTCTTGGCCATTGTGGAGAGGTTGGAGTCTGTTTGATTGAGTGTGTGGACAGGTGTCTTTTATACAGGTAACGAGTTCAAACAGGTGCAGTTAATACAGGTAATGAGTGGAGAACAGGAGGGTTTCTTAAAGAAAAACTAACAGGTCTGTGAGAGCCGGAATTCTTACTGGTTGGTAGGTGATCAAATACTTATGTCATGCAATAAAATGCAAATTCATTACTTAAAAATCATACAATGTGATAGATTCTGTCTCTCACAGTTGAAGTGTACCTATGATAAAAATTACAGACGTCTACATGCTTTGTAAGTTGGAAAACCTGCAAAATCTGCAGTGTATCAAATACTTGTTCTCCCCACTGTGTGTGTGTGTGTATATATATATATATCTTCTGGGGGATTGGAAGTGATGCAGGCAATTACATTGATGTAAGTTACAATCTATCTGCAATATTAAGCTGATCTACCAAAAAAAAGGAAGAAAAAAAAGAACTTTGAATGTTTCTTGAAGTGCAGTCTCAAAAGCTTTATGATGAAACTGGCTCTCATGAGGACCACCACAGGAATGGAAGACCCAGAGTTACCTCTGCTGCAGAGGATAAGTTCATTAGAGTTACCAGCCTCAGAAATTGCAGCCCAAATAAATGCTTCACAGAGTTCAAGTAACAGACACATTTCAACATCAACTGTACAAAGGGACTGTGTGAATCAGGCCTTCATGGTCGAATTGCTGCAAAGAAACCACTACTTAAGGACAGCAGTAAGAGGAGGAGACCTGCTTGGGCCAAGAAACACGTGCAATGGACATTAGACCGGTGGAAATTTGTCCTTTGGTCTGGAGTCGAAATTTAATATTTTTTGTTCCAACCACCGTATCTTTGTGTGGGTGAACAGATGATGTCCGCATGTGTAGTTCCCACCGAAAGCATGGAGGAGGTGGTGTTATGGTGTGGGGGAGCTTTGCTGGTGATACCGTCTGTGATTTATTTAGAATTCAAGGTACACTTAACCGTCTTATTGATGTCACTTGTTAAATCCACTTTAATCAGTGTAGATCAGGGTTGCCCAACCCTTTTCCTGGAGAGCTATCCTCCTGTAGGTTTTCGCTCCAACCCCACGCGTTACTAACCTGATTCATCTTATCAACCTGCTAATTATTAGAATCAGGTGTGCTAGATTAGGGTTGGAGCGCAACTCAATATTAGGAAGGTGTTCTTAATGTTTAGTACACTCAGGAGAGAGGGAGCGAGACTTCAAAATGACTATCTGTGTGTCTACAATCTCAGTTCAAAGATAATTGGAAGGTTGTCAGTGTGTTGAATATAGCAGAGTGTGTACTTTAGAATTAATATTACCATTAATGACCAATAGGGGGCAGTAGATCCACATGCTTCCTACTTTACTAAATCTCACTGGGACACTGTCTCCTTTGTGTGCCCCAAGCCTTAAATGTATTTACTGTTGAACATGTGCTACTACTCCAGCTTTGCGATCTGTCCTCCGTTAACTAATGTCTAATGGCTTAGAAACATTTGGTGTATTGGGCCAACTGAATTCAATGCTTGTTTACCCTCGCAAACATGCTTTTTGAAAGAACTGGTAGAGATAGTTTAACTGTCACATACGGGAATGGAATGTATTTGTGGTAGGGAATCATAGACTTGGATTGATTTGAACTTTGTTGATCCCCAGTATGAAATGAAGATAATCATGCTGTTGTGGTGGTGACCATTGTCTTATGTCAGATTGTGTCATTCCTACGTGACTCTTGTCCCTCAACCGATGTGACAGATCAGTGCAGGCGGAATCGACACGCTATCTGACATAAGACAATGGTTGGTGACATGTTCTGGTTGTTGTTCCTGTCCAGTTTCCTGAGCCAGACCGTCCATCTGCTCAACGAGGACGACAGCCTGTACTGCATCTCAGCCTGGAACGACCAGGTCAGTGTCCTCTTCCTCTCGACTCTTTCCACCCTTAATGTTTTCCTTTCGTTGCTGTAGCTCAGTTGGTAGAGCATGGCACTTGCAGCGCCAGGATAGTGGGTTCGATTCCCTTGGACTACCATATGTAAAATGTATGCATGCATGCCATTTGGGGGCCCTAAGTGAGATTTGGTTAGGGGGCCCCCCACCTCACGGCAAAACATTTTAGTGGCCCTTCTTGATGACAGAGAGAGAAATGTTTGTTTTAAAGTTAATTTCCTGCAATTCTACACATTTTGCCATATGGCAATGTAGCAATTTTATAAAACATTTTATGCAATTCTACACATTTTGCCATGGGGCAGAGAGAGAAAATTTGCTGTTTTAAATGCCCTTAGCTTACCAATGATGTTGCACAACGATTTAAGTCAATAAGTCATCATCTTAGTCAAAGGATGATATACTGTATTTGGGGTTGAATTGGGAAATCCGAAGCGGTAACTTCGGATATTTTCCATGCCAATGCCGTGTATGATATGACGTGCTAATACTTTTTTCAGTCTACTTTTCTTTTCAGGGCTGGGTTTTATTTGAATGTTACAACCCACCAGCATGGCATTGTTTATTAATCAGAAACACCTGAAAAGTTATTCCTCTTCGTGACTGAGCAGAGCAATATAATGGATAAGGTTTGGCTGAGCCGAACAGCTTTTCCCATAGCCTAGACTTGGCCGCCTGAGATATGGAGCAGATTAAAATAGGGGGTGCAAACTTAAGTTTTTGCACCTCCATTTTTTTTACCAGCAAATTATCATAATCCATTGGATAATGTGTCAAGTTTCACTTATTTTTAAGCTAGTCTGTATAAAAATATATATACACTAAGTGTAGAAAATATTAAGAACACCTGTTCTTTCCATGTCATAGACTGACCAGGTACGCAACTCAATATTAGGAAGGTGTTCTTAATTTTTTTGTACACTCCTTTCGTTGCTGTAGCTAAGTATGACAATTTTATAAATGGTAAAATTGCATGTGATATGATTGCATTTTGGAACCCCGCTCCCCCCGTCGCTCCAAGATAAATGGTTTTGACCACGCTCCACTGTTGTGATTGGTGCAGCTAGAAATCACAAGTGTTTATCCTATAATGAAAAGGCTCCCACAAAAGAAAATTCCATGAACTTGTTTATCTATTTTGTACTGTTACATTTGTATTGGTGTTTCGATGCGCTCAGGGTGGTGTTACATAGAATTTGCGGCATGCATCATGAGCAAAGTCATTGTAGCCTCATTTCACTTCCCATAGAAGAGAGAACAATGGCATGAGCACAGGCTGACTTAGCATTGCTATAGCGCAACTGAATAGCCTGCCAGCAGCCTACCAAAGGTTGCACCGTGTCCATTACAATGTAGAAAAACGCAACTTTAGTCCAAATCGTTCAATAGTTCAACTATCCATATTACTTTTTCTATTTCTATGGCGGATTCGCGGCCGCAATTTATGAAACATGCTAAAACGTTGAATATAACAATAGATGGCAAAGTCAAAGATACTGGTTTCTCCTATCCATCTGGCTAACTTTTCCCTAAATGCTTATGACAAATCCAGCTCCAGCACCAACCGTAGCCTAGCCAACTGGCTAATCTTTTTAATATGGTGTAGCAACAGCAGATAACGTTATCTGGCTAAATAAGCTGTCAGTGCCCTACTCGTTGTTATTTATCCACGCCATGTGGAAATCAACACAACGTTCCCACCCCCAATTCGTGAATATGTATTAGCAGGCTGCGTCGTTCTTCGGAGGTGGAACCTAAACGAGAATTTACGCGATAGGAGTTATGTAGAAATAGGGGCGGAATTGCCCTCTGGTGGGGTTCTTTTTAAAGTTACAATTATTTTGCCATGACTTATGCCACTTTAATATGATATCTGAGTGAGAGTGATTAACAAAATCAATGGGTGCCCCATGGAGGACAGGGCCCCTGGGCACGTGCCCGGTCGGTATTCGGCCATGATTACTACAAGTTTAGATAGCTGGTTAGACTACCTACCAATCAAAACATTGACATGGCTAATTGAGTGAATGACATAAGAGAAACTGCACATTTCGAAATGGCACCTGGTGTGTTTGACTATTCTTACTCTCAATAGTAAGTTGAGACCCCGACTGAGTTCCATAAAAATACATCTTTGGGGGGGATCTGGGGGCCCTAAAGACATCAGCATGTTTCAGTTCGGCTGGCGCCTAGCCGAACTCGGCTAGCCCGAAACGAACGAATGTGCTCACATACTCCCTTAATAGACCTTCGCTTGAAAAACAAGAAAAAAGCGGCAGTAGTACTTTGTCCATTTTGAGATGACGTTTCCAGTATACACTTCCTCAAATTAGTCAGAATTAATCGAAAATAATGTCATTCATTTTGACGTTTTTGAAGAGGAAATCTTAGTCGTGCAATTTTACATCTAACGAAGATGTTTGGTGCAGTATTATCAATAAAAAAATGTGTATGAAAACGAGTCGTCTCTCAATGAATGACAACAAAGACTTTATTGCAGAATCCCTGCTGTTGGCCAATCACTGACAAAGGGGCGTAGACTTCGGCTCCGAACTTCGGCTTGCCTCTAGAAAAAAGGTTGTGTGCCCGAACAGCCTAAAAAACCCTCACCGAAGTCCAAAACGAACAAAAACGTCACGAAATGTCATCATAATATATGCACAAACTGTTTCGGCTGGGAAGCATGCGGACGCCTTGAGCCACCGCTTATTTCGCTTTTGCCTTGAGCTGGCCCTGCACGCATGACTGTAAGTTGCTTTGGATAAAAGCTTCTGCGAATTGGCATATATTACTATATACTACTGTAATGTGTGGAAATGATGTGTTTTATGTCGTTTTTAATATGTTATATGTTATGTTATAATGTTGCTATGCAGGGTTATGAGCACACAGCAGAGGACCCAGCTCTCCTCTACAGAGTGGAGAGTATGCCAGGCCTGGGCTGGGTGCTGAAGAAGAGCCTCTACAAGGACGAACTGGAGCCCAAGTGGCCCACGCCTGAGAAGGTACTGGCGTGTGTGTGTGTGTGTGTGTGTGTGCGCGCGCAGTGTTTCCGAAACTGTAATAGTTAATATGTTCTCTGTGTGTGATAATGACAATGACGTTTGTGTGTGTCAAATCAAATCACATTTTATTTGTCACATACACGTGTTTAGCAGATGTTATAGCGGGTGTAGCGAAATGCTTGCGCTTCTAGCTCCGACAATGCAGTAATATCTAACAAGTAATATCTGTGTGTAGCTGTGGGACTGGGACATGTGGATGCGTATGCCAGAACAGAGGAAAGGCAGAGAGTGTATCATCCCTGACGTGTCCCGCTCCTACCACTTTGGCATCATCGGACTCAACATGAACGGCTACTTCCACGTAAGGCCCTCTTCTTCACTACTATAATACACCCTCTATAGCCTTCCATCTGCTCAGGCTGGTATACATTTTTTAAGTGAACTTGATGATGAGGATGATGAATTAGGATACTGTAAGCTATTTTCTCAGTGGGTTTTCAATAGCTGATTATGAGTTTGACCTGTCTTGCATCTGAGTGTTTCTTCCCCATTTCTTCTCTCTAGGAAGTGTATTTCAAGAAGCACAGGCTCAACACGGTTCCTAATGTCCAGCTGAAGAATGTAGACGGCTTGAAGAAAGATGCCTACGAGCTGGAGATTCAGAACTTACTTAAGTGAGTGAGCATGTATCAGATATAGTCCACAAATTAAGCTCTGTGTCTGTGTGTCAGAGATGTGTGTGTGCGCATGTGTGTTTTTTAAAATATATATATTTCCACCGAGACGCGCTTTTTAAATGGATAGTCATTGCCTCAATGACTGGAAGTCTATGGGAACAGCTAGCATGTCATTGCACTAACGCTAGTAGCAATGCACACAGCCCCCCCCCTGCTACCCTTGCAACCACTGCTGAAAATAATCCTAGTGAAAACATCTGTGACTAATGTGTGTTATTCTGTGTGTTGTGCTCAGGGAGGCTGAGGTGCTGGACCATAGTAAGAACCCATGTGAAGACTTGTTCATCCCTGATACAGAGGGGAAGACCTACGTCATGTACGTCAAGATGGAGCTGGAGACCGACACATCCACCTGGACTGAGCTCGCCAAGGTAGAGGGGGAGGGAAGGAGAGGGAGTGGAATTAAGGAGGGAGGGAATGAAAGAGAGAGGGAGGGGAGATGTAGAGACCAGCACTTCACATTTCAATATAGGTAGTGGTTTACAATCGTAAAACGAATCAGTATCAAACTGTTGCTGATTTTGTCACCCTTAAACTTGTTGCTGTTTTTTTTTTTGTGTTGTCTTTCTCTGAAGAGTGTTTTGTAGACTAATGTGTGTGCTGTCCTCCTTAGTGTCTCCATGTGTGGGATCTGGATGTGAGAGGGTACCACAACGGCCTATGGAGGCTCTTCAGGAAGAGGAACCATGTCCTGGTTGTGGCCGTTCCTATCTCGCCATACTCGTGAGTTATTATAGTGCATCACTGTAGCCACGGTTATGGTTAAGGCCCCTCAGGCACATGCAGTACTTCACAATAGAATGACAATGTATTCTTCTCAACTAAACTTTCTTTAACCAGAACAGAATCCCATCCAACTTATTTTCACCGCTAATATATATCTATATTTTTCTCTCTCTTCACTTTGGTCAGTGCGAAGAAGCCAGCGAACGTTACACCCATCCACCTAGAGCCTCCACCCAAAGAAGAGGGAGCCCCAGTGGAGCAGCGGTAGCCCAACTCCTCCACACACCCTCTCACAATGCTCTCGACTGGTATTAAGGTCATTCTTGCAGGGGCTTGTGGCGTCGGAGAGCCGTTGTCTTAACACTACACCATTCAGAGGGGGGGGGGGGGGGGGGTGTGGGGGGGTGTGTATGTGGTGTAAATGGTGGAGTAGCCCAACACCTCCACACACTCTCCAGCCTGGCCTTAACACCTGCACCCTTACCCTACTACCAACACCACCCTCTTGGCCTCACCACAGACAGCAGGGCTTCTTGGAAGTAGTGTTTCTATGGTGGAGGTATGGTGACTGGACTGCACCACTGATCATCCTTGGTCTTTCACTGTGTGGAGGTCAGCTAGAAGAAGGTTTTTGACGAAGTGGGAGGTTGACCGTATTGGGCTGTGTCACAGTGCCGCAGGATTCTGTCCAAATGGTTATGTGTATATATAGCTATGCCCCTTACTGACACTCCACCTGTGAATTCTCAGAGAAGAGGAGGAAGGAACAGAGGCTGGACCAGGAAGCAGGAAAAAAAACATTTACTGGATCTCCTTTACGACGGTTGGATGACGTATGGAAGAAACAAACTGGATGAAAAGGGAGAGAGCGAGAGGGAGGATGATTGACGCTCAAATCTCACCCCCAGCTTTGGGACACACACCCGCATAAATAAGTGGCTTCTGGTGAAATTTGCCCAAGCAGAAATATTATTTTATTTCTAAGTGCTTTGTCAATCATGTGTACATTTTAACTTATGTTTATTTATTTCACTTGCCGGTATATCAACCAACAAGTGGTTCAAATGTTTCATTTTTAATCTGATTTCATTAATATCAATAAAAACATTGAGGCCTAACATTGTTTACAGATCTGATATAATAATGTCTAGACATACATATTTTTGGATGAATAAAAAGGCTGCTTATTTTTCAGCTTTTTTCAGCACCTTTCAACGGGTGTGTTTAGTATGTATTTAAAGTGCTAGTTGTTGCAGATTCGGCACATAAGGGCTCCGTCCCAAATGGCACCATATTCCCCATATAGTGCACTACTTTTGACCAGAGCCATATGGGCCCTGGACTAAAGTCGTACACTAGGGAATAGGGTGCCATTCGCGACGCAAAGAACAGTGGTTAACATCAACCCGTGAACACTACAGTCTCAGTTGTCAGTCTGTTTCTGCACATATTATGGTCTGCACAGTGTGGTTAAGAGACATATTTCAAGGTACTACTGGTGCAGTATTTCAGAAAGCCTATGATCACTTTTTTCATTTAATGTTGGATATGTTATCTACTGTAGGGTTGAATGGTGATGAAATTGTTTGTAAAAGCAAGTATATTGTATATCAGTTTTTGCAGAGTTCGTTTTTGTCCTGTTAGTCAAGAGCAGTGGATGGTATCGGAGCCTAGAGTAAGTGGTGGGCAGTGCTGCTTTTAAATGTCATTTTTGACATATTGAACATTGTGATGAGCAATGATGCAGATGGAATATTGATTGGGTGGGTTTTAGTCCTGCAGCTAAAACAATGTTCTTCATTTCACTTATAATTACCACTTGTTGTTTTGCAGTATCACAGGACAACAAAAGTATGTCCAATGGACCTTTCAGTGGAAAGAACTTGGCCATGATCATCTCATTGTCTAGCTCTACGGTCCTCTAATTTCAAAGACCACAAGACAGATCTATTATAACGGAGGTTTGTTCTCTGTTTGATAACGGTCCATAGACATTTGTTTTGCAGTTTGACTTTACATGTTACACTTACAAGTACTATATTCTTTCTCATGGAAATGAATAAATATGTTTTTTAATTCTGGTGTCAGTTTTTCTTGTGGTGTTTGTTTTATGGATTGGGGGGAGTTGTAGTGAAAGAATGCTTAGGTGTGTGATTAACATAAGTATGTGAATTTATTATAGAGGTGAATCTACAGCAGGCATAGTAACAACATTGATTTATTACTTTGGAATATTCTCAATATATTTTCTTAGTTAGATTCTTTTCTCTAATTTTGTCTCCAGTCTTCTCCTTGTCTCCAGATTTCCCAGGAGAGGATGTTCGGTAAACCAACAGAGGAGATTAAAGGAGAGAAGAGGGGAGCAGAGTGTGGGCTATGGAAATTAATGAAAGTCCCTTGGAGGTAAATTTCCGTAACCATAGTGGTTGACCAAGGACAAACACCTTCCTGGTCTTTGAGTTTTCATCCCCCACCATCTCAATTATCTCATAAAGGGGACGCCCAGTCAGAACCCAGAGTGGACTGTGTCTTTGTTTTAATAAGTAGTACTGTACATCAGTATCTTTGTGTGTGTGCATGGAAGCGTGTGTGCTTGTTTGTGCACATCTGCATGTACTATGTATTCCTGTATCTGCATTAGTCTGTCAATCTGAATGTTCATAAGGGAAGTGCGTCTGTGTGTGTTTGCGCACGTTTCACATGGCACTCAGCCATTTAACATCCCCACTTAAAGGCATCCTGTCACCCAGTGTTAGTTTCCTACATGGCGATTGTTTATGGCTCTGTACACACACAAACACACTGAAGCCGTTGCTGGAAAGCCTCGCTTTCTCTCCCAGTCAGATAAGGGGATTTAGACTCTGTTTCATTATAAACTGTAATGCTAAACCTGTTCATTTGGCCTTTTAGTCAAGAGCAGTGGATGGTATCGGAGCCTAGAATTAGTGTTGGGCAGTGCTGCTTTTAAATGTCATTTTTGACCTATTGAACATTGTGATGAGCAGCACACTATCTCAGCACCTCGGAGCTAAAGATGGAATATTGATTGGGTGGATTTTAGTCCTCCCTAGAGAGAGAGAGAGAAGGGTGGAAAAGACAGGGTTGGTGTACAAGGGTTATTGTTATACGTGGGAGGGAATGAGGAGAAAATGAGAAAGACTTGTTTAAAAACAATATGCTACTTATTGTTTTATCTATAAAATCTCTTGCACAACTAACTTAATTTGTGTAGAGCACTTTAAACATTTATTTTGGGATCCACCCCTGTAAATGTCACTAGTCTAATGATGCGCAATTGGAGAAGGATTGTCTCATTTCAAGCAAGGGCATTTCCATCGACGTTCACTCTCGATAACTTTGACCTTTTTCAAAAGGAGGCGAGAGAGGACGCAGGAGGTGAGCTAATTGATAAAAGGGTATGGTCTCTCACTCTCTCACTCTCTCGCTCCACTTAAATAGACTGTCAAAGGGGAACAGTTAACATGCTTGGCGTTCAGGGTTTGAACAGGGATTTCAGATGATGATTACATTAATTCAGGTGTCATAGCTAGAGGCACGGTATATGAGACTCAAACAATACCCTATTTCACTCTCTCCATTCCTCCTTTCTATGTTTCAAAGGCTCCTGATCGGTCAATATTTGCAGTACTTTGTTATAGAGTGTGGAAAGTAATACAACCAAGCCTAAAAACAAAATTGCGCACACACTTTGTAATCAAAACTTTCTCCATTTATAAATCAGTATATGTTGTTGCTCACTGATGTAATACCTGGGTGTGTATTACAGTGAGGGAAAAAAGTATTTGATCCCCTGCTGATTTTGTACGTTTGCCCACTGACAAAGACATGATCAGTCTATAATTTTAATGGTAGGTTTATTTGAACAGTGAGAGACAGAATAACAACAACAAAATCCAGAAAAATGCATGTAAAAAATGTTATGAATTGATTTGCATTTTAATGAGGGAAATAAGTATTTGACCCCCTCTCAATCAGAAAGATTTCTGGCTCCCAGGTGTCTTTTATACAGGTAACGAGCTGAGATTAGGAGCACACTCTTAAAGGGAGTGCTCCTAATCTCAGTTTGTTACCTGTATAAAAGACACCTGTCCACAGAAGCAATCAATCAATCAGATTCCAAACTCTCCACCTTGGCCAAGACCAAAGAACTCTCCAAGGATGTCAGGGACAAGATTGTAGACCTACACAAGGCTGGAATGGGCTACAAGACCATCGCCAAGCAGCTTGGTGAGAAGGTGACAACAGTTGGTGTGATTATTCTCAAATGGAAGAAACACAAAAACACTGTCAATCTCCCTCAGCCTGGGGCTCCATGCAAGATCTCACCTCGTGGAGTTGCAATGATCATGAGAACGGTGAGGAATCAGCCCAGAACTACACGGGAGGATCTTGTCAATGATCTCAAGGCAGCTGGGACCATAGTCACCAAGAAAACAATTGGTAACACACTACGCCGTGAAGGACTGAAATCCTGCAGCGCCCGCAAGGTCCCCCTGCTCAAGAAAGCACATATACATGCCTGTCTGAAGTTTGCCAATGAACATCTGAATGATTCAGAGGAGAACTAGGTGAAAGTGTTGTGGTCAGATGAGACCAAAATGGAGCTCTTTGGCATCAACTCAACTCGCCGTATTTGGAGGAGGAGGAATGCTGCCTATGACCCCAAGAACACCATCCCCACCGTCAAACATGGAGGTGGAAACATTATGCTTTGGGGGTGTTTTTCTGCTAAGGGGACAGGACAACTTCACCGCATCAAAGGGACGTTGGACGGGGCCATGTATCGTCAAATCTTGGGTGAGAACCTCCTTCCCTCAGCCAGGGCATTGAAAATGGGTCGTGGATGGGTATTCCAGCATGACAATGACCCAAAACACACGGCCAAGGCAACAAAGGCGTGGCTCAAGAAGAAGCACATTAAGGTCCTGGAGTGGCCTAGCCAGTCTCCAGATCTTAATCCCATAGAAAATCTGTGGAGGGAGCTGAAGGTTCGAGTTGCCAAACGTCAGCCTCGAAACCTTAATGACTTGGAAAAGATCTGCAAAGAGGAGTGGGACAAAATCCCTCCTGAGATGTGTGCAACCAGGTGGCCAACTACAAGAAACGTTTGACCTCTGTGATTGCCAACAAGGGTTTTGCCACCAAGTACTAAGTCATGTTTTGCATAGGGGTCAAATACTTATTTCCCTCATTAAAATGCAAATCAATTTATAACATTTTTGACATGCGTTTTTCTGGATTTTTGTGTTGTTATTCTGTCTCTCACTGTTCAAATAAACCTACCATTAAAATTATAGACTGATCATGTCAGTGGGCAAACGTACAAAATCAGCAGGGGATCAAATACTTTTTTCCCTCACT